ACCAAAGCTTGCATACACACAATACTGTGTAAAGAGTGGAAATGCAAAATGCAGGTTTCCTTATGTTACTATGGAGGGATTCACTTTATTCAGATACTATTTTATGTTTTGTCTGATGCAACATGGTGAAATGTGTTAGAATAGAAATCATGTAGATTCCAGTAATGAGGTTGACCCCGATGGCAGGGGGTTCACTCTAATGTGAAGTATGCCACCAATTGTGTTTGCTACAGATAACGTTCAGTAGGCCTACAGTGAATGAGTACATGCATGTGATGGCACATATGGTATACATACAGTACAGAATGGTCAAGCCCTGTTTACCGGAAGTGCCTGAAGAAGGGGGAGATTATTGTGCCCGTTCTTATTATACCTCGGTGAGTGTGCCACGTTGATGGAGCCGAAGACCAATTAGTGTAACCGCAGCAACATTTAGACTTCCGTTTTTTCCGAGTTTGCCTTCAAAATAAAAGTGGCAACGTGTATGATGCGAAATTAATACTTTTTTCAGCTTTGCATAATGTTAAATTAGAACTATATCGGGGAAAAATCTAAACTAAAGAGAATTACTATATATAAGATAAATAGTATAAGGTATGAAAAATGAATGCACTCTGGATAAGAGCGTCTGCTAAATGACTAAAATGTAAGGTGGAGCACAATGAGACATGGTTGGCGCTTAAGTAAATTAATCTAAAGAAAATATTATACAGACCCTACTGATCTAAAGCTAGTCGACTATACTAAACAAAAATATAAACATATGTAAAGTGTTGGTCCCATGTTTATTGAGTTAAAATAAAAGATACCAGAAATGTTCCATATTGCACAAAAAGCTTAATGTTTTTGCACGAATTTGCTTACATCCCTGTTAGTGAGCATTTCTCCTGTGCTATAATAATCAATTCACCTGACAGGTGTGGCATATAAAGAAGCTGATTAAACAGCATGATCAATACGCAGGTGCACCTTGTGCTGGTGACAAAAGGCCACTAAAATGTTCAGTTTTGTCACACAACACAATGCCACAGATATCTCAAGTTTTGAGGGAACGTGCAATTGGTATGCTGACTGCAGGAATGTCCAGTAAAACTGTTGCCAAAGCATTGAATGTTACATTTTCTACCATTAGCTGCCTCCAACTTTGTTTCAGAGATTTTGCAGTACGTCCCACTGGCCTCACAACCGCAGAGCACGTGTAACCACGCCAGCCCAGCACCTCCACATCCGGCTTCTTCACCTGAGGGATCGTCTGAGATCAGCCACCCGGACAGCTGATGAAACTGAGGAGTATTTCTGTCTGCAATAAAGCCCTTTTGTGGGGAAAAACTGATTCTGATTGGCTGGGCCTGGCTCCCCTGCCCAGTCATGTGAAATCCATAGATTTGAGCCTAATGAATTTATTTCAATTGACTGATTTCCTTATATGAACTGTACAGTAGCATCGTTGAAATTGTTGCATGTTGCCTTCATATTCTTGTTAAGTATATATAGGCTATAATGAAATAACACCATATATAGATTCTACAGACCCTAGTGAGTAATCCCTACCCCCCTTTTACTTCTGCACAAAAAATATTTTCCCCTGTATAAGCCAATATTTATTCCACAATACAGGGGGCATTGTGGCCAATGTAATAGGTGGAGTAAAAGGCCAGCAACACTCAGTATTATTCAGAGCCCCATGAAATGACACCATATAGAACATTTCAAGGATGATCAATGGAAACAGGATGCACCTGAGCTCAATTTCGAGTCTCATAGCAAAGGGTCTGAATATTTATGTAAATAAAACCTGTTTTCGCTTTGTCACTATGGGGTATTGTGTGTAGATTGATGTGGGGAATAAAAAAAAAATCAATTTTAAAATAAGGCTGTAATGTAACAAAATGTAGAAAAGGTGAAGGGGTGTGAATACTTTCCGAATGCACTGTATATAGATTTTACAGACCCTACTGAGTACTCCCACCGCATTTTTACATCGGCACCTAGAATACTTTTTGCTCTATTAGTCAATATGTATTCCATTTACGGCGATTTGCATTGGTTACTTAAATATTAACAAATATTAATCATTGTTAATGTTTAGACAATAATTGTTCATATATCATGAATAAATACAGGCTATTGGCACTTTTCTACTGTTACGTGTGGGATTTTCTTTTGAAATGTTCTGAAATTCCGTGACCCGGAAGCACTTTCTCAGTGTTGCTGAAGAGGCAATGATTGGTGTTGGGACGTAGAATTTCAGTGAATCTGCTTTCTGCAGCGGAGAGTTGTTGACTTCTAGCTAATAATAATACACTAAGAAAAGGAAACAAACGAGTGATCACAGGGTTTGTCGCCTGTCTGTACTGTATATGTGTGCTTGTGTTTTAAGCGCGAACAGAATTTAGAAGGTAAGCACTTTTTGCTTTAGCTAACGTTAGGTGTGTTTGTGTGTGAGAGTGACCCTCTTGTACAGTAGTTTGCTTAGCTCTTCTAGACATGTTGCTAGCTTGCAGCTTGCTCTTTTACTGTACTAGCTAGCTAGCTACTGAGTTAATTAATATGTTTGATCAGTTTTTCACAATTCCTGACATTTAATCCTAGTAAAAATTCCCTCTCTTAGGTCAGTTAGGATCACCACTTTATTTTAAGAATGTGAAATGTCATTATAATAGTAGAGTGATTTATTTCAGCTTTTATTTCTTTCATCACATTCCCAGTGGGTCAGAAGTTTACATACACTCAATTAGTATTTGGTAGCATTGCCTTTAAATTGTTTGAGGGAAGAGACTTAGGGGGTATGCTAATTTGGTATAGAGCAGACCTAACCCACTATTAAATTAGTCTAAAACAAGAAAATGTTACATCTGGTGCAGAGAAAAATGTCCTCCTGTGTGCTACCTACAGTTGAAGTCGGAGGTTTACATACACCTTAGCCAAACACATTTAAACTCAGTTTTTCACAATTCCTGACATTTAATCCTAGTAAAAATTCCCTGTCTTAGGTCAGTTAGGATCACCACTTTATTTTAAGATTGTTAAATGTCAGAATAATAGTAGAGAGAATGATTTATTTCAGCATTTACTTCTTTCATCACATTCCCAGTGGGTCAGAAGTTTACATACACTCAATTCGTATTTGGTAGCATTGCCTTTAAATTGTTTAACTTGGGTCAAACATTTCGGGTAGCCTTCCACAAGCTTCCCACAATAATTTGGGTGAATTTTGGCCCATTCCTCCTGACAGAGCTGATGTAACTGAGTCAGGTTTGTAGACCTCCTTGCTCACGCACGCTTTTTCAGTTCTGCCCACAAATGTTCTATAGGATTGAGGTCAGGGCTTTGTGATGGCCACTCCAATACCTTGACTTTGTTGTCCTTAAGCCATTTTGCCACAACTTTGGAAGTATGCTTGGGGTCATTTTCCATTTGGAAGACCCATTTGCGACCAAGCTTTAACTTCCTGACTGATGTCTTGAGATGTTGCTTCAATATATCCACATAATTTTCCTTCCTCATGATGCCATCGATTTTGTGAAGTGCACCAGTCCCTCCTGTAGCAAAGCTCCCCCACAGCATGATGCTGCCACCCCCGTGCTTCACGGTTGGGATGGTGTTCTTCGACTAGTAAGCCCCCCCTTTTTCCTCCAAACATAACGATGGTCATTATGGCCAAACAGTTCTATTTTTGTTTCATCAGACCAGAGGACATTTCTCCAAAAAGTACGATCTTTGTCCCCATGTGCAGTTGCAAACCGTAGTCTGGCTTTTTTATGGAGGTTTTGGAGCAGTGGCTTCTTCCTTGCTGAGCGGCCTTTCAGGTTATGTCAATATAGGACTCGTTTTACTGTGGATATAGATACTTTTGTACCTGTTTCCTCCAGCATCTTCACAAGGTCCTTTGCTGTTGTTCTGGGATTGATTTGCACTTCTCGCACCAAAGTACGTTCATATCTAGGAGACAGACCGCGTCTCCTTCCTGAGCGGTATGACTGCTGCGTGGTCCCATGGTGTTTATACGTGCGTACTATTGTTTGTACAGATGAACGTGGTACCTTCAGGCGTTTGGAAATTGCTCCCAAGGATGAACCAGACTTGTGGAGGTTTACAATTTTTTATCTGAGGTCTTGGCTGATTTCTTTTGATTTTCCCATGATGTCAAGCAAAGCGGCACTGAGTTTGAAGGTAGGCCTTGAAATACATCCACAGGTACACCTCCAATTGACTCAAATGATGTCAATTAGCCTATCAGAAGCTTCTAAAGCCATGACATCATTTTCTGGAATTTTCCAAGCTGTTTAAAGGCACAGTCAACTTAGTGTAACTTCTGACCCACTGGAATTGTGATACAGTGAATTATAAGTGAAATAATGTGTCTGTAAACAATTGTTGGAAAAATTACTTGTGTCATGCACAAAGTAGATGTTCTAACCGACTTGCCAAAATTATAGTTTGTTAACGAGACATTTGTGGAGTGGTTGAAAAACTAGTTTTAATGACTCCAACCTAAGTGTACGTAAACTTCCGACTTCAACTGTACGCAATTATAGCATTAGCTGTGTGGCTTCTTATCATAACTAGCATAGTAACTAGCTAACAAGGAACTTTGCTGCACAAACAACCCCTTGTCTGTGAATTTCCATTGAATGGAAAGTTCTGGTTGTGTGACTTGGCTATCTAGCCAGTGATACTGTTAATGAAATAATCGAATGGTGACGACACGAAATCCATCACCTACCCTATTTACAGCCATATAAAACTATACCCAGTTCAGGAACACCATATCCAGAACCCTTATTCTGTATTTGTGCCCTTCATGAATTGTCATAGACATCAGCCAGATGTTAGCCTACACATCTGCCTCTGTATGAAGTAGAGGAGATGATGATCTTCAAGACACTGTCATTGTCTATTGTGATCCATTCTTTCTGTGTGCTAAAAGCTTTATCCATTATTTTTCTTTCTATGTGCTAAAAGCTTGTTTGAGTTGTTTTTGTTTTCTCCCCATCAGGATGAACGGCCATCCAGAGCTGGAGCCCAGCACAGCACCATCCTGTGTACCTGGCAGCAGGTGTGTGTGTTTTCTTGTCTTATACACTTCACTGTCCATCTCTGATAATGTACATGCTGTACTGACAGGGGGGATGCAAAGAAGAGGACCAAAGAAGAGACTTACTGTAATCAGCCAGCAGATTTTCTTGTGGTTTAAGCGTAGCCATGACATGAGCTACATAATGAAAAGTTGTTGAATATCCTTGAAATGTACAAAACTGACTGACATTCAACTGACATGTTGAATATTTGTTGTCTGAACAGCTTTCCAGTTAATGTGACTGTCTACCTGGTCAGGTATTGCTGACCCCTCACCTGTCTGTCTGTGTGTCCAGGTACGTCAGCCCAGCAGCTGGATGCCTCCTTCAGTACCACCGCCTCTCTGGAGATCTTTGAGCTGGACCTGGCCGAGCCTTCTCTGGACATGAAGCTCTGCGGCGCATACTCCTCCTCTCACAGGTAAGGAAACCCTAGCACTAGTCTTAATGCTAACCCCATCAGAGGAATGTTTCTTTCAACAGGATTCTTTGTAAATTATATTTCTTCAGAGAACTCCAGTAGTAGGTTAAACCCAGGTAGGGCATAGTAGTACAACTGTAATGGTTAAACTCAGGTCACTGGAATGAGCAACAGCAATCAACAAATATTAGTGCAATACAAGTTCCAATAATAAGCATCAGAGCAGGGAAGTCAGCTGTCATAAACAACTCCTGGCTAGGTTTTGAAAACATACGTCTTTGTAGCTCTTCGTCATAGCTAAGACTGCTCTCATCTCTCTTCACCAGATACCACACGCTGGCGTGGGGTCCCCACGGCATGGATGCGCAGGGTCTCCTGTCCGGAGTGCTCATTGCGGGGAGGCGAGAATGGTGATGTCATCTTGTACGACCCGGCCAAGATTATTGCTGAAGACAGTGACGTTGTCATCGCTCAGAGCGACAAACACAGCGGGGGGGTCAGAGTTGATGTCAACTCCTTCCAGGTATACCTAACTAACTGCTTTCACTAACCTGTGGAGTGAGCTTTGGCTTTATGCTGTGCATAGTACTCACATTTTGTTTCCAATATCTCTAAGAGAACTTCTCACTTTTGTTTTATTGGAATACTAATGTTTTGGTCTACAAACCTTGTCAAGTGTCTCTCATTGTGTTTGTTATTGTAGTTGCAGTGTCACCCCATGTTAGCTAGTGATAATAATGCATTACTTCCCTTACCCAGACCAACCTGGTGGCTTCAGGAGGTAACGAATCAGAGATCTACATCCGGGACCTGAACAACTTTGGCTCCCCAATGACACCAGGCCCTAAAACTCAGGTAAGACCCATGACATGGTTAAGAAATAAATACGTTTTGAAATTGAACCTTCAGAGTAGGGTTGTCACGATACCAGTATCGCGATACTCAGAGGTATCGTGGCAAGGAAACAAAACATGAAGCGGACTAAATTTCCTGAGGAAAACAGTCCTAATGTTGGAAACAAGCAGCCTGAGGTTGTCACCCATTACATTTACGTCATTTAGCAGACACTCTTATCCAGAGCGACTTACAGTAGTGAGTGCATACATCTTCATATTTGTTTGTACTTGTCCCCTGTGGGAATCAAATCGAACCCACAACCTTGGCGTTGCAAGTGCCATGCTCTACCAACTGAGCATGTTTCTTTTCCAAGCTACAGCACACAATATGTTACATACAGTAGGTTTTTTAACCAAAGGGTTTAGTCTGCTTTGTGTTTTCCTTTTTTCCATGGGAAATCAGGTATTGCGTAGTATTGCGATACTGGTATCGTGACAACCCTACTTCAGAGTGCTACCCAGTTCATTTTTTATGGATTATCAATGAGAATTTATGGAGTAGAGGAACGTTTGAGTGAGCAGGTTGTTTATGTTATTTCAGCCTCTGGAGGACGTCAGCTGTGTCGCGTGGAACAGACAGGTCAAACACATCCTGGCTTCAGCCAGGCCCAGCGGCCGCGCCTCCATCTGGAACCTCCGCAAGAACGACCTCATTATCAAAGTCGGCGACCACAGCAACATGGTAGGTAACGTACGTCTGCTGTTTACGGCTCAATTTGCCACTTATGAACCCAGCAACAGGGTACGCAGCAACACACGTTTGTCTGTGTCTGTCTGCTGTTAAAGCCTCAGTCTGTAATTTGTGACCACAGCAACATGGTACCAAAGGGTTTAGTCTTGTGCATGTCTGTATCTTTCTGTCTGCTGTTAAAGGCTTAGTCTGTCACTTTCATCTCCAGTTTAAAAGTGTTGTCCCTGGCTTGCAGCGTTCTGTAAACCGTGGGGGTGGGGGTGAAGAATTCCCTGCTCCTTCAGTCAGAAGATTGGCAAATGTAACTGCCACTGAGTTGTTTTGAATTCTGTGGTAAACCTCCCCAAAACGAATAACAATGGAAGGTACAGGTTGCGCCTTCAGTTGTTTTGGGATGATAATTATTGTGTAATTTTCCTTTGACAGACAGATTTGGCAACCGTATAGGCCTGAGGCTTTTGACATAAAATGTTACTTAGTACAAACACGCCTGTGTGTGTGGGTGTGTTCAGATGCACTGTTCTGGGCTGGAGTGGAACCCAGAGGTAGCTACTCAGCTGGTGCTGGCCTCGGAGGGTGACCGGATGCCAGTGATCCAGATCTGGGACCTGCGTTTCGCCACCTCCCCTCTCAAAGTCCTGGAGAACCACACACGGTAAACTATCACTTCAAATTAATCTGGTATCCAGTCTTGAAAAAGTAACATGTTAAAAGTTGAAACGCTGACTGACTGTACTTGGAATAATGGAGGCAAAAACAACCTGTTGGTAGTCAAACGTGTTGGGGCTAAACTCAGTAAGACACCTAGCAATCTTGAATTGAATGAATGATTCCTTGCTTGCTATAGAGATCTCTGGGAGATGGGGATGCCTGCTCACAGTGGAGTGATCAGAACTCAATGATCTGGTTTGAAGGCTAACAAAATAATGGCACACCCAAGACTTGTCAGAACTAATGCAATACAAGTGTTCAGTAGATCGAATGTAGTCGGATTTAAATGATGCCAATTAAAACCCTTGTGTGTTCATCAGGGGTGTCCTGGCCATCGCCTGGAGTCTGGCTGACCCTGAGCTGCTACTGAGCTGTGGGAAGGATAACAGAATCCTCTGCTGGAACCACAGAGGTCTCACACACCTGCATAGATCCAATGACTCTGTGCTATTCTTAGCATGGTCCCTATCTACAAAGTACAGTACACTGTTAATAAGTTTCATTACTGAGACATACACGTACACAGCTTTATTTAACCACAAATTTAACCATAAATACATTCCTGTCCTATCTGTAGTTGCCTTCTGATGTGAATCTGTTGTTAATCTCCAGGTGCTGTATGAGTTGCCTACCAGTACCCAGTGGTGCTTTGACATCCAGTGGTGTCTCAGGAACCCAGCGGTGCTGTCGGCTGCAGCCTTTGACGGACACATCAGCATTTACTCCATCATGGGGGGCAGCAGCCAGGCTGTCAGCCAGACACAGGCAGACACAGTGGGTACCAGTTTCACACATTAACGCTGTTCAGGGTGGAAACTGGCCACCATGTTGGTTAGGGTTACAGACACGGTTAGCACCGACTCAGAGATGAACATTTTGGAGACACTTGATCATTGTTCATTTTGCTGCTCTTTGACCTGTCTCTGTTCCAGATCAGCACATCATTTGGCAACATGGATCCGTTTGGAATGGGCCAGACCCTGCCCCCGCTGCAGCTTCCCCAGGCATCCCCCTACACAGCCACCCCCCTCAAAAAGCCCCCCAAGTGGATCCGCAGGCCCGTGGGGGCCTCCTTCGCTGTGAGTCACTATCTTCTCTGCCTTCATTACTTTGCTATGTTTGTCAAGTCGTATGCATGGATGTATGATGTACAGTTACTGAGCAGCACATTGTTTTCCTTTTGTGCTATTATCTGACCTCCTGGTGACCTTTACTGCATGTTCCTTTCTCTCACCTCTATAGAAATTGATAAGTTGAAATCGTACTAATAAGTTATTCTCTTCCTATTTCTCTCCCCCTCCAGTTTGGTGGTAAGCTGGTGTCGTTGGAGAACATTAAGCCCAGCCCCCAGCAGCCTCAGCAGCCCACGGCCCATGTGGTTCACGTGAGTCAGGTGATCACCGAGACGGCCTTCCTGGAGCGCTCGGCCCAGCTGCAGGCCATGCTGGCTGCAGGCAGCTTCACTGACTTCTGCCAGGAGAAGATAGATGCTGCCCAGAACGAGTTCGACAAGACCGTCTGGTCCTTCCTGAAGGTAGGGATGGGAACTCGGACTTCACTTTTCCTTTATTGTCTAGTGTTAAAACAGAAGTTTGTCTCTTGCTGTACTGCAAGGTATTGCTGTGCTTTTACTTTACCAATGTTCAATTGTGTTCTCAGGTGAACTTTGAGAATGACGCTCGTGGAAAATACCTGGAGCTTTTGGGATACAAGAAGGAGGAGCTAGCAGCAAAGGTGAGGTTGGAAATGAACCGTCACTGAATGTCCTCAGGCCTTGTCAGTCTGTCTGTCTGACCTGTCTGATCCTAATGCTGTTTGTCAGCCTGGTTTAACTCTGCTGTGGATGTTGGTTGTTTGTTTACAGATTGCAGCATAATAAAATAAAAACCTATTCAGCCTGAGGAGGTACCGTCTTTCTTTCCCGTGTGTGTGTGTGTGTGTGTGTGTGTGTGTGTGCGCACGAAACCTATAATTCATTATTTGTGACAACACGGTAAGCAACATGGCATCGGAAGCAACAATTTGCTGAAATGTAGATAGTAATGGTAATCAAATGCAAATGTATCTGCTCATTCACTCTCCATGTGTGTGAGTAGCTTTGGTGTCATTGCTCAAACAGGGAAGTGGTAGGGGCAGTCAGAAACTGTCCAAGATGACTCACTCTCTAGGTTTCACACTACAGTTGTTTAGGTGACTAGGAAAAGGAAGTCTTTCTTTTTCACGCGCTTGGCAGTTCAAGTTAGGACAACTGAAAATTGTTGAATCGCTTCCCTGACTTTTGTCATAGATCATCATTTAATATGATTTGGTGAACTTCACATCACATATTTCCATTGTAACTTATATTTTTCATCTGCAAGACGATGCTATTTTCTCATCTGGTTCTTAAAGCTAAAGCATATTTTGTGATTCTGACATTGCTTAACCTGGGCTCAACGATAACAGTACTAATATCTCAATGGACACAATCAATTAACTTTCATCATTTAACATGAATGAACATTGTTAGGTTTCTAACATTATTCTGATGATTATTTATCTACAACTCTCAATCTAATGGCTCTCTCTGCTGAACTCCAAATCTGGCTCTCCTCTCCTGCTGTATGAATGTGTGCAGCCTTCCCCTGCTCCTTCCCCTACCTCTGAACCTGAGCCTGAGGTTGAACCTGAGCCAGAGGTAGTGCCTGAACCCAGTGCCGCTCCCCAGCTCAGTGCTGAAACCCCGGCTGAGGTCCTTCCTCCTGTGCCTGAGCCTGCTGTTATCGAGCTCGCCCCCGAACCGCCGCTTGAACCTGCCCTCCAGCCTGAACCCCAACCTAAGCCAGAGCTTGCCCCCTCAATCTGTGGTGACCTTTCACCTCCTTCTGATCCTATGCCTGTCCTCCAATCTGAGCCTGTCCTTACTCTTGACCTCAGCGCTGAACCCCAGCTTCTCACTCCTGTTGCTCTCCTGCCAGAGTCTGACCCTACTTTGGCCCCCCCAGCTCTGGCTCCCACCACTGACCTGCAGCAAGTACCCGTGTTTGATCCCGCTGCCTCCTTCACCCTCCAGCCTCCAACAGGGTTCAACTAAGTAGACGTACATTGTGTGTCTGAGTTTGACCACTTTGGCCTAATGCCTCAGGTACAGTCCCCGCTACATCCTGTACCTGACCACACCAACCTGCTGCCAGTACCCGGCTTTGACCCAATGCCATCATTCCCCACCCTGCAGCCTCTAGCCGACCCTGGACGACTCCTCTCCGCCGACCTCCCACCTGAAGACGCATTTGACCTCATCGCTGCTACAAATCTCCAGCCAGCAGCGGAACTGGAACTCAAACCTGCTCCAGAACCGAAAGATCCGTTTGACCTCATCGCTGCTGCAAACCTCCAGCAAGCAGCGGAACTGGACGTGACGGAGTCTCTGGAACCAGTGGAAGCGGAAGTGGACCTGACGAGGGCTTTGGCCCTTGAGGCTGAAGCTGAGCCCATCGCCCAGGAAGAGATTCCTCTGGAGGAGGTACCCTCTCCTCTCATCCCCTCTTCTCGTCAGTCCATCCCAGAGAAAGAGAATGTCACATCGTACTGTTACAGCGTTCATCGCTAAACTGTAAACCTATTACATTGGTACTGCTACGTCAGTATATTGCTACAGTTATGTCTCTCATCTAGAACTAGAATTGACTTACCAAATTATTATCCTCCTATTTTCCTTCAACTTCCCTTTCTCTCTGGGGTACTCACACCCATTTGTTTGGTTTTACTTTGCTGTCTAATGGTTATATGTAAAGCTCTCTGTGAGATTAGATGTATATAGTGGTATGGAATAACTGTTGTTTTTGAGTTGTTGCCCTGTAAATCTCCCATTGACATCATTTGCACAGCAGTTGGAATTGTACTCTTAGTTCCTCCAGTGAAGGTACTGCTCAAGGTCAAAAAACATGAATAAACTCCCTCTCTGGTCTGTCAGGAGGTGGCAGCACCAGTGGAAGCAGAGGCAGAGGCCAGCCTCCCTGAGGAGGCACCAGCTCCAGTCCAAGAGGGCATTAACCTCGGTCTCAGTCGAGGTAAAGATCCATCTGAATCTCTATTTTGATGGTTCTCAGTTTAAGTTGCCGATGTGCTTTTGTTGTGTGTTGTTGGTTTGTCCGGTCAGGTGTGGACTGCCTGATTACCCAGGCCCTGCTGACCGGGGACTTCGGGGGCGCCGTGGTACTCTGTCTCCATGACAACCGCATGGCCGACAGCATCATCTTGGCTATCGCCGGAGGGGCGGAGCTTCTGGAGAAAACACAGAGGAAGTACTTCACCAAAAATCCCAGCAAGATCACCAAGGTAACTAACACAGTAACGTAACGTAACAAGCTGGTGTGAAGACCAATGCAACGGTGTTCTATCGAGGTGCTTCCCACTGGGCAGCAGTTGCTTCACCGGGCAGCTGTATCCCATGTCGCTGGCGGTAGCTAATGTGGCCAATTTGTTCCATACTCAATTATATTTGGAGTAGGATAGCAGCCTACAGGAGAAATAACTTGTAATATTGGGAGTAACCATCTGGATGTCACCGTGATACAGTCTACTGCTCAATGGAGAGCGTTTGCGCTGCAAGCCGTCAACACAACACCACCTTGCACAGTGTGTCCTTCGCTCCCGGGTTCCGCAGGCCGAGCACTGCTGTCTTGCAGTAACTTAGAGTGAAGTAGCTAGATAGTGTAGCTAATATCAGGCAGGGTGACAGACAGCTAAAGCACATTTATTGCTTTTGTAGTTCGATATAAACGGAATGATTCTGAACACTCGGAAGTCCCAACTTCGGCAGACAAGTTTTAAATTCTCGATGAAGTTTATAGCCACAAACATAAACTATCTAGCTGGGGAGGGCTCATCAGGACGACTGACTGAACCGAATCCGTTCGTCTCCACTCAACTCGCAACATACGTCATACATTTTGGCCGTGTCTGTATAGCCTCCCCCATCACGAAAGTACCTCTATCATGATGAGGTCAGTCAGTGCCATGATCAGGTAGTTGTTGATCCATGGTATTGGCTACCAGTATTCCAGTATTGGCTACTGTTCTACTCATATTGTTTATTGATAACGTATCCTTCTGCAGATGATCAGTGGTGGTGTTGAGGAACTGGCAGAGGGAGGTACAGTGGGGGGAAAAAATGGTGTTTATGGGCTGTGGTTTCTGTTGTGGCTCCTCTATTGTTTAGTCATCATTTGTGTTTGTGTGTTCTCCAGGTGAGGTCTGCCTCTACAGTGACCTCCTGGAGTAACCAAACTCCCCCAGCTCTCCCCAGTGACCTCCTGGAGTAACCAAACTCCCCCAGCTCTCCCCAGTGACCTCCTGGAGTAACCAAACTCCCCCAGCTCTCCCCAGTGTCCCTCCTCCTCTAGGCCCTACCACCACAGACCCCCAGGGACATACACACTAGCCCTCAGTATGGCTGGGACCACACACACATCTGGACCACACTAGCAACTTTGCTTCAGCTTTTTTGGCATGTGTTGAGTGTGCCACAATCTTGACCAACTCTAAAATCTAACTCTAATTCTAGCAGCGAACTAAACTAAATGTTTTGCAGTTTTTTTGAAGGTATCTAGCTAGCTGCCATAGTTATTAGTGCCAGTAGCTTTCCTCCCTAACACTTTTCCCTGGATGTTAATGTCTTTGATGGCTTTGATGTTTCCTCTGGTTGACTGTAGTCCCATATTGTTTGCCTGGATGAAAATGAATTCATTGATTACATTGATTCAACTGGGATTAATACTTATATTAAACCAATGAATTGATTTCCAATGTTATCATTACCAAGGGGCTTTTCCTACACTGTTGTTCTAGTATGGAATCAATACGTTACTACTCTCTTCTGTTGCAAGCGCTCCTCTTGCTATTGTGGTACAATTAGACTTAGCACAAATACCAAGCATAGGGTCACAGCCATGTACCCCTGACCCCCTACCCTCACCATGGACCTGCCAGCTAATGCCCACTGAGCTCCACTCCCTTAGGTGCTGTATTAGTCTGCATGTCCCCTGCTCTGTTTCCTACTCTACAACCCAACCTTAAGGTCACTGATTGACCCCAACACCACCACTACTTCCACATGCCCCCCTAGTCTCTCTCTCTACCTGACCCCTTACCTCCACAGTCACAGCTCCGCCCCCCTGTTCCCATGGTCCCCATACCGGCTGGTCACTTACTGTAGCTGCAGTAGTATGCATGTCACCCTGTTGATACCCCAACCCACCCTGGATGCATGTCACCCTGTTGATACCCCAACCCACCCTGGATGCATGTCACCCTGTTGATACCCCAACCCACCCTGGATGCATGTCACCCTGTTGATACCCCAACCCACCCTGGATGCATGTATGGTTTGTCATGCATGTCTGTGTGGAGCACCTGATACAACCTCTAACCCTCTCCATGTCTGTCTGTTTCTTCAGTCCAGATCCTGTTTCTCTTTTCGTAGATTCACTCACAGCTCTCTTGTATGTCAGTATTTTGTATGTCTATCTAGTTGTCTTGAAGGGATACTTGGGGATTTTGGCAGTGAGGACCTTTATTATCTTCTTCACTATAGTCATATGTTAGAGGTTGTTTCGCGAGCCAATGCTAACTAGCGTTAGCGCAATGACAAAGTCTATGGTATCTTCTAGCTAGCAGATACCATAGACTTCCAGTCATTGCACTAACGCTAGTTAGCAACTTCCTTCAAACTGCACGCAGAGACATACAAATGGTTTCCATGAGTTCATCTGACTCTGGGAAAGTAGATTAAGGGACTCATTGCCAATATCCCTTTAATTCCACCACTTTTCAACCTCATCTTCATTATCTCCAGCACCATACCAGTGTCTACATATGTGAAAACGGCATGTTTCTATGATCTGTAGTTGAAAAAAAATGTAAAGTAAAAAACGGTATTGTCTTGCTTGCCATGTCACCGCCAATCTCAAAAAGCAAACATCCCCCCCCCCCCCCCCCCCCCACCCCCCACCCCCCAGTTTCCCATATGGCTCAGCTCAGGTGCCTACAGTACATAAACCATAGACATACACTACATGACCAATAGTATGTGGACACCTGCTTGTCGAACATCTCATTCCAAAATCGTGGGCATTAATATGGAGTTGGTCCCCCCTTTGCTGCTATAACAGCCTCCACTCTTCTGGGAAGGCTTTCAACTAGATGTTGGAACATTGATGCGGGGACTTGCTTCCATTCAGCCACAAGCATTTTTGAGGTCGGGCACTGATGTTGGGCGATTAGGCCTGGCTCGTAGTCGGCCGTCCAATTCATCCCAAAGGTGTTCGATGGGGTTGAGGTCAGGGCTCTGTGCAGGCCAGTCAAGTTCTTCCACACCGATCTCGACAAACCATTTCTGTATGGACCTCGCTTTGTGCACGAGGGCATTTTCATGCTGAAACAGGAAAGGGCCTTCCCCAAACTGTTGCCACAAAGTTGGAAGCACAGAATCGTCTAGAATATCGTTGTATGCTGTAGCGTTAAGATTTCCCTTCACTGGCGCTAAGGGGCCTAGCCCGAACTATGAAAAACAGCCCCAGACCATAATTCCTCTACCAAACTTTACAGTTGGCACTATGCATTGGGGCAGGTAGCGTTCTCCTGGCATCCACCAAACCCAGATTTGTCCGTCGGACTGCCAGATGGTGAATTGAGATTCATCACTCCAGAGAACGCGTTTCCACTGCTCCAGAGTCCAAACCACTCCAGCCGACGCTTGTCATTGCGCATGGTGAACTTAGGCTTGTGTGCGGCTACTCGGCCATGGAAACCCATTTCATGAAGCTCCCGACAAACAGTTATTGTGCTGACGTTGCTTCCAGAGGCAGTTTGTAATTCTGTAGTGAGTGTTGCACTCGGCTGTCTCGTTCTGTGAGCTTGTGTGGCCTACCACTTCGCGGCTGAGCCGTTGTTGCTCCTAGACGTTTCCACTTCACAATAACAATACTTACAGTTGACTGGGGCAGCTCTAGCAGGGCAGAAAGTTGACGAACTGACTTGTTGGAAAGGTGGCATCCTATGACGGTGCCACGTTGGATGTCAATGAGCTCTTCAGTAAGGCCATTCTACTGCCATTGTTTGTCTATGGAGATTGCATTGCGGTCTGCTCGATTTTATACACCTGTCAGCAACGGATGTGGCTGAATCCACTAATTTGAAGGGGTGTCCACATACTTTTGTGTATATATACAGTGAGGGAAAAAAGTATTTGATCCCCTGCTGATTTTGTACGTTTGCCCACTGACAAAGACATGATCAGTCTATCATTTTATGGTAGGTTTATTTGAACAGTGAGAGACAGAATAACAACAACAAAATCCAGAAAAACACATGTCAAAAATTTTATAAATTTATTTGCATTTTAATGAGGGAAATAAGTATTTGACCCCTCTGCAAAACATGACTTAGTACTTGGTGGCAAAACCCTTGTTGGCAATCACAGAGGTCAGACGTTTCTTGTAGTTGGCCACCAGGTTTGCACACATCTCAGGAGGGATTTTGTTCCACTCCTCTTTGCAGATCTTCTCCAAGTCATTAAGGTTTCGAGGCTGACGTTTGGCAACTCGAACCTTCAGCTCCCTCCACTTATTTTCTATAGGATTAAGGTCTGGAGACTGGCTAGGCCACTCCAGGACCTTAATGTGCTTCTTCTTGAGCCACTCCTTTGTTGCCTTGGCCGTGTGTTTTGGGTCATTGTCATGCTGGAATACCCATCCACGACCCATTTTCAATGCCCTGGCTGAGGGAAGGAGGTTCTCACCCAAGATTTGACGGTACATGGCATCGTCCCTTTGATGCGGTGAAGTTGTCCTGTCCCCTTAGCAGAAAAACACCCCCAAAGCATAATGTTTCCACCTCCATGTTTGACGGTGGGGATGGTGTTCTTGGGGTCATAGGCAGCATTCCTCCTCCTCCAAACACGGCGAGTTGAGTTGATGCCAAAGAGCTTGATTTTGGTCTCATCTGACCACAACACTTTCACCCAGTTCTCATCTGAATCATTCAGATGTTCATTGGCAAACTTCAGACGGGCCTGTATATGTGCTTTCTTGAGCAGGGGGACATTGCGGGCGCTGCAGGATTTCAGTCCTTCACGGCGTAGTGTGTTACCAATTGTTTTCTTGGTAACTATGGTCCCACCTGCCTTGAGATCATTGACAAGATCCTCCCGTGTAGTTCTGGGCTGATTCCTCACCGTTCTCATGATCATTGCAACTCCACGAGGTGAGATCTTGCATGGAGCCCCAGGCCGAGGGAGATTGACAGGTCTTTTGTGTTACTTCCATTTGCGAATAATCGCACCAACTGTTGTCACCTTCTCACCAAGCTGCTTGGCGATGGTCTTGTAGCCCATTCCAGCCTTGTGTAGGTCTACAATCTTGTCCCTGACATCCTTGGAGAGCTCTTTGGTCTTGGCCATGGTGGAGAGTTTGGAATCTGATTGATTAATTGCTTCTGTGGACAGGTGTCTTTTTATACAGGTAACAAGCTGAGATTAGGAGCACTCCCTTTAAGAGTGTGCTCCTAATCTCAGCTCGTTACCTGTATAAAAGACACCTGGGAGCAGAAATCTTTCTGATTGAGAGGGGGTCAAATACTTATTTCCCTCATTAAAATGCAAATCAATTTATAACATTTTTGACGTGCGTTTTACTGGATTATTTTGTTGTTATTCTGTCTCTCACTGTTCAAATAAACCTACCATTAAAATTATAGACTGATCATTTCTTTGTCAGTGGGCAAACATACAAAATCAGCAGGGGATCAAATACTTTTTTCCCTCACTGTAGTGTATACACACACACCATAGACATACATAATTCACACACACAGAAGTCAGCTCAGACAGATCGAGCTCAGAGAGGTCCAGCTCAGGAGCTCCATCAGCAGCAGATTTTCATTCAGAATGGAAAATGGATGTGTTAATGCAACATGTTAGTACATTGAACCAAATGTTATCGATTAGTTCCTCTAATCAAATCGCACCGAATTGTTTCAAACTAAAACGTATCGTTCCTTTATCTTTGTCTTGAAAGGGAAAGATGCACATCCCCACTATTCCCTTTATAATGCACTTTATAGGCCAGGGTATAAGGTTCTTGTCAAAAATAGTGCACTTTATAGGAAATAGGCTGCCATTCGGAATGCAGCCCCTGAGTCTGTGATGTCATCTTCTGTGTCTGTCCTGTCTATCGTTGCAGACTGAGCCGACACCCCCCATTTATGGGATGCCTCCCCCTGGGTCAGATGTGTACTCACATCAGTACCAGCGTAAGTGTCTCAAACATCCCTACCACTTCCAGGTGATGGGTGCTCTCTTCTTCGTGTAGAAGGAAAGTGGCACACTGAACCACCTATAAGTGTGTCTGCTGCCACCAACAGGTTTGGAGTATACACTGAGTAGCCTCGAGGAAATCGTGGCCTCGCACATACAGGCGCTAGCCTTGGGTATTCTAAATACAGTTAGTGTCTCCAACTGTATTTCAAGTCAGACTATCTTCGATGCCCCGTTTTCTAAATTTAAACCATCAAACATTTTCTGTTGAATGTTTGCTTTCATAGTGTTTTCTCTTTGGAATGTTCTTTGCTAATCAGCCTTGAATCTTTCTTTGGCGATTTATCTAAACCTGAAATATCACCCTAAATTGATAATGAGAATGTTTGGCTGTTAACTATCTCACTGCATGATGTCCCATTCTGAATGACAAATCTTTCATGCCTGATAGTCTCTCTATAAAAAAATCTGGCCAGAAATATTGGCACACTTGCAATTTTTTCTAATAATTCACAATTTCTTCCAGAAAACTATTGAAATTAAAACATTGGTATCCACATATGTATGTCTTTGTTTTGCAGTTGAACAAAACGAAAAAATCTGAATAATTTACTAAATCTTAGCTTATTCCACAAAGAAATCCTAAAATGGCCCGGACAGTATTATTGGCACCTTCTAGAAGTAGTTAGAAATAATTAGATTTCAAGCAGGTGATTCTCTTTTACTTTGGAATTGAACTCACCTGTGGTATGTGGTATGTTGCATGTGCCTGCAATATAAAAATCACTCATTCAGCCAGTTTGAATAGAGAAAAGGACTAATTCTCCTGTTTTGTGTCATTGTGTGTACCGCAATGTGCATGGAGAAAATAAAGAAAACCAGAGAATTATCTGAGGAGGTCAGACACAAATTGTAGCCAAACATGGACAATCTCAAGGCTACAAGTCCATGTCCAGAGACCTTGATGTTCCTGTTTCCACCATACGTAATGTTATCAAGAAGTGTAAGGCCCATGCCACTGTAGCAACCTCTCTGGACGTGGCCGCAAGAGAGAACTTGATGGAAGATTGCAGCGAAGGATTGTTCTAATGGTGGAGAAAGCACCTCTATCAACTGCCACACAGATTCAAGCTGACCTTCAGACACAAGGTATGACAGTTCAATTCGCACCATCTGTTGCCAACTCAATGAAAGGGGGTTGTATGGTAGGAGACCCAGGAGGACCCCACTGCTGAGAGAGAGAGATATAAGAAAGCCCGACTGCAATTTGCCAAAACACACCTGAACATGCCAACATCCTTCTGGGAGAATGTCCTGTGGACAGATGAGACCAAATTAGAGCCTTCAAAGAAAATAACACCTTCCCTACAGGCAAACATGGAGAAGGTTCAGTGATGTTTTGGGGTTGCTTTGCTGCTTCTGGCACTGGGTGCCTTGAACGTGTGCATGGCATCGTGAAATCAGGAGAATACCAAGGCATTGGAGCGCAATGTCGGACCCAGTGTCAGAAATCTGTGTCTCCGTCGAAGGTCATGGTTCTTCCCAGCAGGAGAATGACCCCAAACACACTTAAAAAAGCACCCAGGAATGGTTCAAGATCAAACGCTGGACTGTTCTGAAGTGGCCAGCAATGAGTCCAGATCTAAATCCCATTGAAAACTTGTGGAGAGATATGAAAACAGCTGTTGGGAGAAGGCATCCTTCAAATCTGGGTAAACTGGCGCTGTTTGCACAAGAGGAGTGGACCAACCTGCCAGTACAGAGGTGCAGGAAGCTCATTGATGGCTATAGGAAGCGCTTGATTGCAGTTATTTTGAACAAAGGCTGTCCTACCAAATATTAAGTCTAGGGTGTCAATAATTTTGTAATGCCATTTCTGTTTATTTTCTGATTTAAATGGATATATTAAGTTCTGAATCAAAAGCAAAGGTTCTGTAATATTGACAGTGAAATAAAGAATTGTGGAGACTAAATACTTAGGTAAATTTCAACTTATTTTTGGGGGAAATTGTGAGTTACTTGAAAAACGTGCAAGGGTGCCAATATCTTTGGCAACGACTGTACTTTTGAATGAAGTTCTAACTAAGTTGAAGCATTTTTCTGTAATGTTACCATATATTGTAATTATTAACAGAGAAACATGCTTCCATTTCACATTTCCTGAACTGCTAGAAATTTGAATGCATGTTACTATTGTTAAAGACCCACAGTAAGCACTGTTACAGTTAAAGTATTTAACGTAACTCTGTGACTAATGCATGCTGTTCTCTCTTCTGTGAACCCCAGCCTACCCTCCGGCCAGCCAGTACAACCCTGGCACTGGTGGCCCAGCTATCTATTCACCTCTTCAGTACTCTGCTCCTCCCTCCTTCTCTTCCTCCTCTCCTCAAGCCCCAGCTCCAGGCTTCATGCCCCAGTACACTCAACAACCCCTCTACCAACCTCCTGCCATGGGCCAGCCTCTGTCTTCTCATCCTCCTTTCTCTCCTACTTCCTCCTTCTCTCCTCCTCTGTCCTCTGGAGCGTCTTTCCAACATGGCGGACCAGGGTCGCCTGCCTCGTACATGCTTCCTCCTCCACCAACCGGATCCTCAGGTACACAGCCTGATCCTGGCTCTGCCCCTCTCTCCACCCGCCAGTCATCTACAACATGACAGTACTCAGTACTGGCTTTGGTCCAACATCTACACTACAATACCCCTTAGAAAGAAGCAATGTATTGAACCTGTATTCTAAAGTGGTACGCTAGTGTGGATATTGGAACAAAGCCATAGTTCAGTTTGAATGGCCAACCAAATGTCAAGTGTAGGGTTAGATACCAGCATAGGAAGCTAGTGGTCCATATGGAACTGGTCTTTAAAATTGAGTAAGTGATAGGCAGCTGTGTAGACAGTGTCCAAATATAAGGCCATAGGAACCAGGACTCAGTGTGTGCTATCTATTTGCTTAGTGAGCACAGTGCAGCCAAGCAGACAGGCTTCAGACTGTAATGTCATTATTTTGCACTATAGCCTATTTATTGCCTTACCTCCATAACTTGCTACATTTGCACACACTGTATATATATTTTCTGTTGTATTTTTTGACTTTGTTTTTTTTACCCCATATGTAACTCTGTTGTTTTTATCGCACTGCTTTGCTTTATCTTGGCCAGGTCGCAGTTGTAAATGAGAACTTGTTCTCAACTGGCTTACCTGGTTAAATAAAGGTGAAGTAAATAAAATAAAAAAAGACTGTCAACAGCTGCTGTTGTTCCATGCCTCTCTCACACCTCTAACCCTGGGTGGGGAAAGCTGAGGAAATGTTTTTCAACTGACATACTGTTACTCATTTGAAAAATGGCGGATACTTATTAACAGGGCCCTGTCTGGCCTTTTGGGGTAACCGAAGTGTTAGAGGGGTGTTAGACATTAGTAGCATTACCGTATTGTTAAATTAAATGGGACATTATTAGTTAGGTGTAAACATTTACAGGTACAGTAACACTAACAACAACACATTTTTTGGAGGAGGGCAGGTAGCCTAGCGGTTAAGAGCGTTGGTCCAGTAACCGAAAGGTCGCTGATTGGAATCCCTGAGCTGACTAGGTGAAAAATCTGTCGATGTGCCCTTGAGCAAGGCACTTAACCCTAATTGCTCCTGTAAGTCACTCTGGATAAGAGTGTCTGCTAAATTACAAAAATGTTAATTTTGAGTGTCATGAGTGTACTATTAGTAGTTCCCTAGCTATCATTGTCATTATCATATTACTGTTCTCTCACATGTGCCCTGTTGGTTCTGGGAAGTGTTGTAGAGTGTATTTGTTTCATTCACAAAGGGATATAATCCAGACAGTACCTGTTTCATGAAAGGTGAATTTAAATAGACAGCTCTGCTCTGCTACCTTATATAATTACTGTCTGGAAATGTCTGCCACCGGGCCTGACCAGATCATACTATTCAATTTAATCAAAACCATCAAAAGCGCTCGCCAATATTCCTGACGATCAACAGCATTTCCGCTTCTGTTTTATAGATTAATATTTAATCAAAGAACCAGCTTCTATTTATTTTTTTAAACCAGCTGATTTTAACGGGAGCTATCTATCACATAATCAGCTCTGTCACAGACCGGAAGTACCCAGGACAATAATCATAACTGCCATGATGCTGTTGTTGATCAAGAGGTTAACATGGGTATGAGTGTCAGTTGGTGGACCCCGATGTGTGGTGGTCTGGGCAGGAGCGTAAGCAGCAATGATTGGGTTGGTGGTAAATTAAGAGTCCAATTGGGATGGCTCAGAGCTTTACTTGGCTATCTAGGGCAGGCAATATCCTGATGAAAATGACAGGCAGGAGGATCATGATGATTATTTTTAGGGCTCAGCCCAGGCTACACTGTGCTCAAATACCAATGCATTTAGCCTAAACAAAACTGTTTTGGTCATTTACTGAAATGTAAATAAAATGAGCCATACAGCCTACGCCGTTGCTCGTTGTCTTGCTGATGCACTATGAGATGTATAGCTTGCTTCAACTTTGGCGACTAGTAAGTATTTTTTAAACCTCCCGCTTTGGGCTGAATGTGTCAATGTGTATTTCATATATGCATAATCTATGAGCAGAATTACTGTTTTACCTCGGTTAGCCACGAAATCCCTAGTTTGAAAGTGACTGTTCTCTGGAAACTGCGGTACCATTTTCGCTACATTTAGCCCCACTTGGGCCAGCCCTCTAGCAATTCGAGTTTAAGCCAATGAGCTTCAGCCCCTCGCCATTTGCGTGACAGCTAGCAAGACGCACACACAGTAGAGAGAGAGCAATGACGTGGTGCACATATCTGCACATTTGTGATGTACGCAATTTTCTGGAACCACTTTTGGCTCGTGGGCGCTACATTCAGAACAACAGGCAAAGTTTTCAAAAATACCGGAGAATCTATTTAAGTAATTTTAAAATAAGCGCAATCAAAGCAATAATTATATTTTTGCTTATCCATGCTACCCAGAAATCGGCATACAAAATATTCAAAATCCCTCTCCCCATACCCGCTTATGAAAAACAACTCTTACAAGTCCCGTTCTCTGTGGCCGAATCATTCCAGTGTTGTGCTGTGAGTAGTCTGGGTGCCAGTCTAACTGTAGTTGTCTCTTGCCAAGCTAGAGACAGTGGCACCGAGGCTGTAGTGAGGAGACGGGTGAGTGATGGGTTTCTCTCTGCTTCTCCACAGGCCCTCAGAACGGCTGGAACGACCCTCCTACTCTGAGCAGAGTGCCAAAGAAGAAGGTGAGACCTATCACACAACCACTAGCACATACATTATCATGCTGTGGTCACTGACCCTGGGTCTAGCTCTCCAGGACACAGGAGCAGTGGATTAACCACACACACTGAGTATATAAAACTATTTCGATGATATAGACTGACCAGGTGAATCCAGGTGAAAGCTATGATCCCTTATTGAAGTCAATTGTTAAATCAGTGTAGATGAATGGGAGGAGACTGGTTAAAGAAGGATGATGATTATTATTTATTTTTTTACCCCCTTTTTCTCCCCAATTTCGTGATAGCCAATTGGTAGTTAGTCTTGTTTCATAGTATAGTTTCTTCTTCTTTTTATTCAGTTTAGTCACATGATTTCTCAATTTACAGTACGTTTGCCAATCGGTTGTGCAGCCAGACTTATTTGCCATTCCTTTTGCCTCATCCCTCTCAACCATACCATTTTTCAATTCATCATCAAGCCACAGGGATTTAACAGTTTTTACAGTCATTTCCTTAATGGGTGCATGCTTATTAGTAACTGTAATATTCAATTTCATAAATGTGTCAAGTGCAGCATCTGGTTGCTCCTCATTACACACCACAGACCAACAAATATTCTTTACATCAATAACATAGGAATCACTACAAAACGTATTGTATAATCTCTTATACACTATATTAGGCCCAGCCTTTGGAACTTTGGTTTTCCTAGATATGGCTACTATATTGTGATCACTACATCCAATGGATTTGCATACTGCTTTAAAGCAAATTTCTGCAGCATTAGGAAAGATGTGATCAATATATGTGGATGATTTCATTCCTGTGCTGTTTGTAACGACCCTGGTAGGTTGACTGATAACCTGAACCAGGTTGCAGGTACTGGTTACAGTTTGAAGCTTTTTCTTGAGTGGGCAGCTTGATGAAAGCCACTCAATATTTAATTCACCCAGAAAATATACCTCTCTGTTGATATCGCATACATTATAATAAAATAAAATATAAAATGCCATTTAGCAGACGCTTTTATCCAAAGCGACTTACAGTCATGCTTGCATACATTTTTATGTATGGGTGGTCCCGGGGATCAAACCCACTACCTTGGTGTTACAAGTGCCGTGCTCTACCAGCTGAGCTACAGAGGACCATTATCAAGCATTTCACACGTTATCCAGATACTGACTGTTAGCACTTGGTGGTCTATAGCAGCTCCCCACAATAATGGGCTTTAGGTGAGGCAGATGAACCTGTAGCCGTATTACTTCAACAGTATTTAACATGTGAACCTCTCTAAGCTTTACAGGAATGTGGTTCTGAATATAACACCTCCACCATTGGCATTTCTGTATTTTTTGTAGATGTTATAACCATGTATTGCTACCACTGTATCATCAAAGGTACTATCTAAGTGAGTTTCAGAGTTGTCAGAATATGAATGTCATCTGTTACTAGCAAATTATTGATTTCATGAACCTTGTTTCTTAAGCTACATATGTTAACGTGGGATATTTTTAGCACTTTTTTGGGATGCTTGATTGTTTTCATTGATTGACTGGGAAGCTTAGCAGAAGTAGACATGCTCATGTTTTTTATGTTAGTGCAGGGTGAGCTGCACACAGTGGACTTCCTACTAGGGCACACCGCCTCAGTGCTAACAGTATAACTCTGGTTCATAGGCACATGATTACTGCATACAATAGCTGTAGGATCAGCAGAGGCATTCAGGGCAGTTAGAGGAACATAAATTAGGTTATTTACATTGTGTTTACCAACGCCCCTGGGATAATGAAAATTTGCTGAAGCATTATGACAACTCAGCGACATAATGGTAGGGATGAACTGAGCTGGGCTTGGGTCATTGATAAGTCATTGTCTCAACTAAGCATTGGAGTCAACATGGGCCAGCACCCCTGTGGAATGCTTTCGACACCTTGTAGAGTCCATGCCCCGACAAATTGAGGCTGTTCTGAGGTGGGGGTGCAAAACAATATTAGGAAGGTGTTCATAATGTTTTGTACACTCAGTATGTGTGTATATATATATATATATATATATATGCACATACACACACACAGTGCATTCGGAAAGTATTCATGTTACAGCCTTATTCTAAAATTGATTAAATATGATTTGTTTTCAATTTACACACGATACCCCATAATCACAAAGCGAAAACAGGTTTTTAAAAATGTTTGCAAATGTCTTAAAAATTAAAAACAGAAATACCTTATTTGGTCAGGGAGGTGACCAAGAACCTGATGGTCACTCTGACAGAGCTCCAGAGCTCCTCAGTAAAAAGCACATGACAGCCCTCTTGAAGTTTGCCGAAAGGCACCTAAAGACTCAGACC